AAGTAAAATTAAACACAGAAAAAAGCTGTTGCTTGGGGGAGCTCGCGACAAGGCTGCCATACTCGGCGCCATCTTGGTGTCATTAATGATAGATTGTAAAGCGCTATATAAATGCAATCCCACTATTCATTCACTCTCACACACTGATGGAGGTAAGCTTCCCCGGGGAAGACTGACAGAAGGCTGGCTGCCACATCGCGCCAACACTGGCCAACACCAGTAGGTGGTAGGACGACGAAGACAGACGGAGCTGGGATCGAACCGGCAACCTTCCGGTTACAAGATGAGTTTCCCAACCCCCTGAACCACGGTCGCGTTCATTCTCAACAAAATATTCAAAAAGACACTAAATAGGAGGAAACGTCCCCATTCTTTGCTTTGTTCGTGTTCAGCTGTGAGAAACATTGTACATTATTTTATGTTATCCTTCAGCTTTTGTTCTTTGTCTTTTTTAACAATCGACCGAACAAGAACAATCTCAGTTTTTCATTATTAACACGTTAGAATTTGACGTCCTCTCAGAGACGAAGGCTGCCTAACATGTACTTCCAAAGCGTCTCTACGGTAACGCTGTGTGCAGTAAATATGAGATGTTAGCCTTGCACATAAACATAAATGCCAGCAGCTGCCCGCGTACTAACAGGACTGATGATGAGTGAACAGATGTTGCAGATGTTTCTGCTTCTCCTGCCCCTGTGCAAAGCACACGCTTCATGAAGTCTGTCCCTCACTGATTGGCTGCTGCTGATGGCGTTTCATAAACAGATGGAGTGATTTGCGTTTGTCACATGTGTGACCCCGATACTCCCATCCAGGCTTCATTCTGAACACTAATGTCATGTTGTCACCAGGTGGCGCCACTGAGCTATGATGCAAATTCCTCTCACACATACAGGCTGTGTCCCAATCCAGCGACCGCACCCTTCTCGTACTTCCTAGTACCCGCCGTATGTAGTGCGCGAACTGTGCGTACTACGAAGTAGGAGAAGTGAGAGGCTTGTGAAACGGGACGGTCTGGCCTCCGTCGTGCTGCTGAGGTTGCCTAGCAACCATGATACTAACCACGAGAAACGTTTCATACAGCTTTGTGTGACAGAAATGGAGAAAAATGTTTTTTTAATTTTTTATGACATCACTTTGATTAGTTGAGTATCAGAGGCAGCAATATAACACAGCTCACATTAACAGTGCAGTGGATCCTGCTTGTGCCGTGATGTTCAGGACTGCAAACCGAGCAGCATCACTGACTTTCAGCTTGTTGTGTTTGTGGATATATGACTGACTTTAATTATCCATAAATCATCACATCTCTGTGAGATTAAGGTCGACTATTGAACGGCGCATATTTAAAGGCTTTAAAACCAAGTTAGTACAAACGTCACTAACGTCACATGACTTTGCCGACATGTGGCCAACAGTCATGTTTTAATGTTCTTCATTATTAAACAGTCGCACATAAATAAGTGACATCATATTCAGTACTTACTGAAAGTTTACTCTTCAGCTGCTCCGCTTCAGGCATCCGCTGTTTGTTTGTTTTCGAACAAAATATCCACACCCACCGCCGCGCTATGAAATGTGGGATATATGGGACCACGAAGTGTACACCGGACCACACTTCAACTTTGGGGAAATGAAGGACGCATTTGTCGGCCTCTTAGAATTGGAGCGGTGTCCCAAAACATCGGCTGCATCCTTCGAAGGACCCGGCCTTCGCGGTCTGTGTGCCGGGTCCTTCGAAGACCGAGAAGGCCGGAAGTGCGAGGCTGTGAAATGTGACGTTCTCGCCTTCAGATTAGCGTCACCGCTTTCTCGGTGGAGTTTAATACATTCGGCCGTCTGCTCTTTCCTATCTAAAATATAACAGGACACTGCTGCAGACTCTCGACTGTCTCACACTTTGACGTTTATTCAGCTGTGTGAAAATCCCGGAGGAACCCAACGATGGATTAATAAAGTTTAATTTAATCTACTAACTTTAATCTCAGCTAAACCGATTCACTCCGGAACGAATAAAACGCGGAATAAAACAAACAATTACCTTAAGTTATTTGAGTGACTTATAACCTGAGTAGCGAAAGACGTCGCTGTGACGTAATCGGTCTACAAACGCGCACTACGAAGCGTGCGGTCGCTGGATTGGGACGCCGCCACAGCATCACCTGTCACCTGACTCCTCTCGTCCTACCACAGCTGCACTCAGGTTGTCCCTTTACCTGCGGTGTGATCTGTGATTCGTTGATGAATGCCGGTGAGCAGCAGGAGCTGTTTGTTTCACAGTCTAGTAAAAGCTAATAAAATAATCACAGCTGCGAGTGTGGGAACGATCTCCTCGGGATGAGACCCAGAAAGGACCTAGGAGAAAATGAAAGAGCGCGCTCCACCACTAACATGCGTGAATAACTTAAAACATTCAAACCAAACGATGCAGTAATAATGTTTGATGCTCCAGATTTTTACAATCACACGATGGGTGATGTAATCTGTGAGTATTTAGACCACAGCAGGATCCAAACCACAGATTTCTGCAGATGGAGACGGTGTTAGAGGATCAGTGGATCATATTCACAGCTCTGGATACAATTTTTGTATTGAACGCTCAGGGTGGGGAACTCCAAGGGCCGGTATCCTGCAGGTTCTAGATCTCACCCTGGGTCAGCACACCTGAATCACATGATTAGTCCATTACCAGGTCTCCGGAGAACTTCACGACACATCAAGTACGTTGTTTAGCCATTTAAATCAGCTGTGTTGGGTCAAGGACACATCTAAAACCTGTGTCCCCTGAGTTGCAGGGACCCCCCCCACAGATGGCGTGCATGTAAGCATCCGACTCAGACACACGAGCAGTAAATTTCAACCCTGAGGAGAGACGGGAACATTTCCTGCACCTGGAGATGCAGAGCTAAACGGCAGCAAAGAGCATCAAGTGATTCTGACAGTACGCACTCAGCAGTTCGGTCAAAGCCCAGATCCTGTTTGTCGCTGCTCACATGTCATCAACATCTCAATACAACATCGGCAGACGGTCGGCACGCTGCACAGTAAGCTTCAGAGTCAAACGCTGAAAGGTGTCCTGTTATCCGTTAGCTTCAGGAGAGAAAAATCACGGTTTGAACGATCCCTTACTTACTGCTGCCGAAACAATCCCATGTCCTCAGATTTCTACAACAATCGCTGTCGTGTCTCTGCTCGTCTTTGTTGATGTTACCAACATAAGTAACTTTGCACAGCCTTGTTATAATGTTGAGTATCGGTTCTGTTTGTTAATGAACTGGTCTCCTCAGGTGCTCCTGTCTGCACTCTGTGTTTCCTCATTCTTAGTGACTCTGGAATTACTTCGGCCCTGAAACATGTCCAGGCTTTAAGGAAGTCCCTGAAACTAACGCCACGCAGCGCTGATGATCAGGTGGAGACTTCCTGTTCCTGAGTTTGAGGCTGCCGTTTCCTGTTTGGTGGCTGTGAGGAGTTGGTGGGTTAGAAAGCGCTCGGAGAAGAGTTTGTTGAAAAAAGGTAGAATTTTAATCAGAAAGTTTTTCAGCACATCTCAGAAGATTCAAACGAGAACAAAACAACAGAAGAAAACTCGAGAAAAGCTTCGACTACGACAGAGTCCAGAGCTCGGCTCTCCCGGAGTCACGCTCTCTTTACTTCCTGTTCCTCAGACAAACAGCTTCTGCTCTGGACTCGACAGCGGGCGACACAACAGTGATGAGTTCACGTGAGAGCTCCACGCAGGAATAAAAAAAACGTATATAAAAGAGAAAGCAGACGTGGGGAGAGGAGCTGCTGGCCGAGGTCGTTCCCTTCCCGTCTTCATGTGATGAGCTGTGAGGAGAGAAAACACAGCTGAGGAACACCTGCAGGGTTCACCTGTGAGACCAGAGCACCCCAAACCCTCGCCGTTCCCATGATGCACCGCCGCATGGCAGAGGCGGGGTCACCAACTGGCAGGGTCTGTGCTCTGATGGTTAAACGGCTGCAGTACTGTGCAAAGGTCTTGAGCCACCGTGTGTTAGAAGAGCTGTATGATTTCACACGTGTAAATACAGAGTTTGATCCTTCAGCTCAGCGCGAGGACGTGCAGGGTGACGCTACGCCGCTTCAGTAATGCTGAGGTCCTGTTCCTCAGACCTTCATCACCGTTTCCTCCTGTGAGGCTCAAGACTTTTGCACAGTTCTGTACATGAACGTAAAGAAACAAAGTGAAAAACAACACATGACGGCGGTTTGTGAACTTCCTGTTTGCAGACTGAACGGTGACACCGAGCGAGGTGGGCGGGGTTTTGGTGGCGGCTCAGGTGGCTGCAGAATGAGAAACGCATCCACACGCAGCAGCCAATCAAATGGTTTCTAACATGTGTGGTTTTGATAAACATGGTGACGCGCCGACTCGCTTCCTGTTTTGGTTTTTAAAGAAACAGCAAGATGAAGCTGCTCTGAGATGACCCTGCTGGACATCAGCAAACCTTTTCCTCCTTACCTTTCACAATAAAAGCCCACAACAGACACTTCCTGCTGTCATTAAATACTGTACGTAATGTCTGTGATGTTCAAGTATTTATAGTCATTTGTAAAAGACTCGTTAATTGTGGTTTATCAAGAAAGATTTGGTGCATGGCTTTAATCTACAACTTCCTGTATGTGAGAAGCATTTCACCTCAACAGAAAGCAAACCTGACACGTTTCTATTCACCTGTAAATATTAACCTGACATCGAGGAGGACGGTAACCTGGGAATAAATCAGCTGATCTCCTGTTGGCTGATGAGCGGGGCTGGAGCTTCAGCAGGTAACACACAGGTGAGCAGTCAGGCTGCAGCCCCACCTGCACCTGCTCATGTTTCACAATCACCGTGACGACCGCTCTGAAGTCTCTTTGTGTGCGTGTCGTCATGGGCTCCGTGTTAGTGTGTGCGACTCTAGCTCAGTTTATATTGTTGGACGATAATTACAGAGTAGGTAACGAGTATTCTGTGTAATAGAGTACTTGTTTTGAGGAATGACAAACATGTGACCCACAGCATGCAGCGACTGCTCAGAGATGAAGCCTGTGGCAGACACGCCTCTGACCTGCTGCTGCCCTTTACTGTGGACAGTAAAGCACTGCACTAATGTCCCCACACCATCAGGAAGAACAGCGTGTGTGTATGTGTGTGTACTCACAGATTTGACGGTCTGTTTGATGAAGTCCTTCTTGGTGCTCAGGTCGTGCTCGGGGTACGTGTCAAACACCTGGAACAGAGTGTCACGCCTCACCGTCAGACAAACTGAGCTGTGACACACACGCGCACACACACACACACACACACACACACACGCACGCGCACGCACACACACACACGCACACACACACACACACGCACGCACACACACACTCTCTAACCCCCCTGACCCCCTCAGTCAGCTGGTTTACTTGTGGGGACCAACGTGTCCGTCCCCACAAGTCTGAAGGCATGTCTGAGACAAAGTCTCACCCAAGTTACAGTTGGGTGAGGGTGAGAGGGAGCATTATGTCAGAGTTAGAGTACCGACACTGTGTGTGTGGGCAGGCCTTTTCTGGGCCCTCGAGCCACATGTTTGGACAGCTGCTGCAGCCTGAGGGTGACGCCCCCACCTGTCCACACTGCTCAGCATCTGTAACCATGGTAACACAAGAAGCAGGGAGACTGACCCTCTGGCAGATCTGCTTCATGGTCATCTCCTCCAGGTTGGCCTCCTTCAGCAGACTCTGCACCGTCTCCTTCAGCTGCTCGTCGCTCGGCCCCTTCTTCACCATCTTGATCAGCGGCTCATCATCGTCCGAGCTGTCCTCCGCTGCACGACGACGAGCCGCAGAAAAACACACGAAGAAGAAGAACAGGAGATTTACAGCCAGGTCTCTGACATCATCGTCCTCACTGTGGAGGTCGCTCCGAAACACGCAGTGGCCAATTCATTAGGAACTAAACTGACTCATATTCTGACCAATCAGGATGTTTTGGACGAGCCTGGGTAAACATCAGAACAGGAAGTCTTCGTCACACCTTCAGCTGCCTCGTTTCTGAGGGCTCTTATTTTGGTAACAAGGTTAACGGTTGTCACCTAAAGTC